ATTCTGTAGAATATAACAGTTTTTCGACTAGCCGTGATACAAACAACCCGTTTTAAAAAAAAAATCAAAATTTGAAAATAAATTCATTTCATACTTACAAAATTACCATAGATATGATTTCAACAATAAACTAGTAAAGAGGACGTGTATGGAGAGGTTTTGTGGCAAACTGTTCTTATACGGTCAGTAATAACAGTCACAGTACAAATCATTTTGTGTGCTATTGGAAGTGTGGAGTAGTAACTCGACCGAAATGTTTAATTTACATAGGCTTAAATCGATCGTGTAATATTGGCGTTGTGTAATATACACGCACGAGGCATGTTTGCTTTGTTCGTTGTTGTTATATGCGTATAAGCTCATAACAAACTGGAGTGTCTACTATATCCCAAGGTCAATGATCTGATCGCTGTTGAGGTAACTGAGCTACTTAACGACAGGTATTGTACGTTCATTGATTTAATTCAGGCCTTGTCCCTTTTTCCATATTAGGGTTAGAAACTGGGTCATTTGATTTCCGTTATCTTTTTCATAATATATTTCAACAGAAAAGCTTCCGTAGGTGTACAGATTAATTGTCATCATTACTTTCTTATTTATAATTCATTTTTAAAACTTGTGTTATATTGTATAAATGGAGTCTGCAAATAAGAAAATATCTTTCAATAATAATTCACTTTGCATGTAGAAACAACTGTTTGTGTGATTGAAAACTAAAAAAAAAAAGTTCATTCTATGCTGGCATTTCAAAAATGGTAAGAACAACATTTGTAAAAAAACACGTGTTTATTAAGACACCTTTTAGATAGGTTTTCGAGGACTGTCTTTAAAATTAGAATTATGTTGTCTTAGAATTATGTTATAAATAATTTGCTTATTTGTTTTTAGCTATTCACGCAAAGCTACTCAAAGGTTATCTACTCTGGTTGGCCCTAATTTTTAACTGATAGGCTAGAGGGAAGAAAGCTAGGTAACAGCACTTACTGTATACTCTTCGGTTACTCTTATTTGACCGAATAGTGAGATTTGACCATCGCCCATATAACGCATCCACGGCTCCAAAGAGCAGAGAGCAGTTTTTGAAGCCCACCAGTGGCACAGCGGTATGTCTGTGAACTTACAACTCTATAAACCGGGTTTCGATACCAGTGGTGGGCAGATCACAGATAGCCCATTCTGAAGCTTTGTGCATAACTACAAACAAACAAACAGTTTTTGAAGACTGTAACAGGAGAGGAACGCTGAACCTTAAAATTCATAGTCCAGCATGCTAGCCACTGGGCCACGTTCGGCCTCTATAGATGACCATCAGAAAATGATGCAGAAATTAACATTTTACTTTAAGCGAAATTGTTAATAAAATATTAGTTTAGCACAACCTCATGCATAGTAAAGAAATGATTAACCAGACTCTAGACGAAACATCCTTTTGACTAAGAATGACTTGTAAACATTTGTAAGGTCTACAAACAAATTATATTTTCCCTATGACTTAAGTCTTAGAATGAACTATGTAATTTCCACAAGCGAGGACTGTTATCCAGTAGTGAATTCACTTGGTGATGTTGTTGTAAGCATAAAGCGAAATAAAGAAGTCAACAACAATATATTTACGATATTCAAACATAAGGAATAAAACCTAATGAAATATTTATTAAATTTATCCATTGATAAACTTAACATTTTATTATTACAGTGTACCACTTTCAACATGCTTATTTCTTGATTCCTTGAAATTTTCGCCAAAAAAGATATATTTTTATTTACCAATAGCTTGTTGTCAGACTTAATTCTGTCGTCTTTATTAAAACCATTTCACAGCCTGCTTAGATTTGTTTTCATCACACCACACTAATGACGATATAGTTCCATCTCAGTATTTTCAACCGGAACTGCACATTATGCGACACGTGGGCTAAACGTTCAAGTCAGAGAACCCTAGGTTCAGGCGTAGCCATTCCTAATTTTCAACAGCTGACCTGAAGGAGAGCAACCAGTCAATAGTACCAACCGCCTATAAGGTTACTCTTAATCTTATAGCGGGATTGATTGTTACTATTATAACAAACAGTTTCAATAGCATATCGCATTTCTAACCTTGGATCTTCTGATACGCACCCTGGCACGCTAGTTACTAGGACACTACCGGCCCAAACTTTAAACTATCCTCTTTATTACAGTGATTATTTTTACTTCTCAACTTTGAAACTGGTGAAACAGTTTATTCTAGTAGACTGGGTCATTTAAAATTTTGAAATGTTTTAAATATAGTGTAAAGTATTTATTTTCAGACGGCTACAGTATATACTAATGGAGCTGTTGTTGTTCTGCATTTAATAGAATGTTTTTGTTTATGTCTTTAACGAAATAAAATTCTTGTTTTTTAATACAGGTGTTATTGCTGTATTAGTCGGAACAACAGTTGCTATTGTAGACACGGCATTCCCGAACAAATTTTCCACCATTTTGGAGGTCGATTACGACACCCCCTACCGGTACTTTGTTGGCCAAGACCACAGTGTTTTTAATAAAACCGAGAAAACTTCCTTGGAGTTACAAACAGTTACCCAGTCTGTAGATGCTGCTGAACCAGGCACTAGCAGGGCTGGGGTCGATAATGTAGCTTATGAAAACGATGACAGTGATATCAGTGCAACTTTCAATGGTAAACGTGCTGTTAGTCTGAAATATTTTGGAAAACTCGTTCATCACGAAGATTTGGGAAATGGATCAGTTTCACCTTTAAACCGGTATATTCTTAGATTTTGTTTTTAGTATTTTATAAGGGAAATAACCTTATTTACGCATATTCAATAAAAAACAAAAAACTATATTTTGAAAGATGCAATTCATTTACAAACAGTTGGTTGAAGATTCAATAATTTAGGTTACACATGTACCCTATGTATGTTAACATTTACAAACAGTTGGTTGAAGATTCAATAATTTAGGTTACACATGTACCCTATGTATATTAACATTTACAAACAGTTGGTTGAAGATTCAATAATTTAGGTTACACATGTACCCTATGTATGTTAACATTTACAAACAGTTGGTTGAAGATTCAATAATTTAGGTTACACATGTACCCTGTGTTTGTTAACATTTACAAACAGTTGGTTGAAGATTTAATAATTTAGGTTACACATGTACCCTGTGTTTGTTAACATTTACAAACAGTTGGTTGAAGATTCAATAATTTGAATTATTGCAAATTTTACGTACAATATCTTACATACTCACGTGATATAAGCAAGGATGTAAAAATTAAATATATACAAGTAAAATAGGAAGTAAATTTAGGGATGACTAACACCAATCCTTCACAAAGGATGTAAACAATATAATAGGGATGACATTTGCGTTATCCCTCCATAACAGCACAGGGGGGGGGGATTCGACAAAACTTGATTTTATGTAAGTTAATGAGTGTGGTGAAAACGTAATGGTTAAAACGGCCATATAAATATGTATATATATATATAATAACTAAAAAGTATCATTAGCCAGATTGTTTTAGTTTACAATAATACATCTAGGTAATTGCAGGATAACTGAAGGAAAATTTAAACACAGCTACAAAGAAATACTATGCCTACACAAAGGCGTAGGTTGAGGGGGTGGGGAATACGAACGACCCCCTCCGCGCAGGAGATAAGAATTCCGCTTCTCAAGCACAGAAATAAATCAACCTGTTTTTACCCTCGTGAATCATAAGTTTTTGACTTGTGAAAAATAATGTTGGTTCGTACTTCAACAATCGTTCATACACAGTTTAATCGGTATATGGTTTGCATTACCAATAGAAAGCAGTTTGCATTAAATAAAATTTACACATGTGAAGGATATTCTATAATAAATGAAATTCCCTTTGTACGCGTTCACTATTTTATATTGTTATAATTATGAACAACAAAAAGTATAAGCGAGAGTAATTTAAATCAGTATTTACAAATTTGTAACAGCAATGATAAGGATGTGTTTTATATATTTTTTAAATTAGTGAGTTCAATACTAAATACCAATGATATATAAAATGATCATGGCAAAAATAATATTCACAAAAATATTTGTTATAGGGTACCGTCCATTAGAAGAAATAGCGAAATATATATAATCCATTCAAATTTGAGTCCTACAAGCAGAATTCAGTTTCTAGAATTCTGCTTAAAGAAGGTACCAGAAGTAGTTTAAAACACTTAGTACGTGTGATTGTAAAATGTAGTAATCGTTAACATAATTATTTTGGATATTAAGATCACATCTTTCCTTCAATAGAATAATAATGATGATTTTTGAAATATTTGACGAGTTTGCATCCAGAGTTGAAAATTATATTCAAAACTAAAAGATAACCTCTTCAGACTTCAGAGAATTAAAATTGTGAGCAGGCAAATTATTTGTGTAAATGTTCACCTTAACATTGAAAAAGAAAAAAAAAGGTGGTCATTATTTGAAGGGACAAAAGCTGTTCTGGAGAGAATCTTGTTTAAAAAAATATTTAATTCATTAGATATTTTATTTTTTGTCAAAGAAAAATAGTGTTGTTGTTAACCCTTTCTGTCGATAAATAAAAGAGACCCAGAAAACATAAATGTTTTTTTTTTATGATTATAGGAAAGAACAAACACTTGATTAGTCTGAGAACATTAATCAAGAAGCCGAATAAAACATAAAATTAACACCTTCCGTGATCTGCCTGAGATAACTCGGGCACTCTAAATGTTTTAACATCTATTTGCTCTAGTTAGTTCGGGCAAACCATTTCTCACCGTACTTGCCAGAATTTTTTATTATCATGTTATTATGGATTACAACAGGGTATCGAAACGTGAGATAAAAAAACTGCCTTTTCTGGAGCTCATTTCCAAAACAAAAACAAACCTGACACGGAAGAGGTTAAGAGCCGAATATTTGTTTTCTATTATTGATAAAATACTTAATACTGTTTGAAATATTATAAATTGTTAATTTTTGTTATGAATTATCTTCACCAGGACAGCCTTCTTCTTGTGGTTAGTGATGAACATCCTCTTGTGCACTGTCCCCAGGTACGGGGCTTACTGTATGCAACTTACTGGCGGAATCATGCTCCTCACCAACGCCATTTATACTCTCCTGTTACCAAGGAAGCCTTTAGTCATACCTTTTGAAGGAGGACTTCTCAGGTTCCATTATGGGTGGTGCTTTTGGCTAGTGTTAGCAGCTGGTATGTTGATTTTTTATTGTACCATTTTGTGTGAGACAAGCAAATGAATGTGATTTATACCATCAGATTCAATACAAGTTAAAGTACACAAACAATTATGAAAATATCAAGTTTAATATCCAGTTCTAAAGTTAGCTAGAATTAATATATTTAACAGTGAAATAGTAGTACACTCAAATGAATAGGACAGTAGTAAAACACACAGTCCAGTAGGACATTTTTTTTTTAGTAAAAACAGAGTCTGTGGTGATAATTTTAATGATATTTATGGCCGTTTTAACCATTACATTTTCACCACACTCATTAACTTACATAAAATCAAGTTTTGTCGAATCCCCCCCCCCCTTTTTTTAGTAAAAACAGAGTCTGCGGTGATAATTTTAATGATATTTATGGCCGTTTTAACCATTACATTTTCACCACACTCATTAACTTACATAAAATCAAGTTTTTTCGAATCCCCCTTCCTTTTTTTTAGTAAAAACAGGGTCTGCGGTGATCATTTTAATGATATTTATGGCCGTTTTAACCATTACATTTTCACCACACTCATTAACTTACATAAAATTAAGTTTTT